CAGACGGACAGACGGACAGACGGACAGACGGACAGACGGACAGACGGACAGACAGACAGACACACACACACACACTCACACACACACAGACAGGCAGGCAGGCAGGCAGGCAGGCAGGCAGACAGACAGACAGACAGACACACAGAGAGACAGAGAGAGAGAGAGAGATGGATACATACTGTGTATCAATCTGTGGCCATCACATTTCCGAGCTTTGCACGCTCTCCCCCATTCATCCGCTGAGCTGCTGATATTGATAGCTGAGAGCACGAGGCTGCCATGATTGCTGCCGCTACATTTGCAACTCTTCACAGCAATCTGGGCTGCCCGTACCATTCCGAGTGGGCTTGTGTGGTGAGTGGATAAGATACAGAAAGTGGATAAACATTTTGAATATCCATGGAATCCGGACTTATAGATTCGATATTCCAGCTATATTTAGTTACAAACAAGGGAATACGTCACCTAGTTGGCTGGGATTCCCTGCACGAGTCTTTGTTATCAGAACAATGACCTATTGCAGAGGGAAAATCGAAGACCAAATCATCACCAATTCATCTAACCTCTCACAATCTAACATTGCCATGGAAAATGGCCCATTGATTAATGATTTACCTATTTGAAACGTTGGTTTTCCACGGATACGTTAAATTACCACAGTGTACATTTTTTTCCTGTTGAAAATGCAGATTTGTTTGTGTCAACTCTTGGAAGCTGTTGACCTTTCGTTATAGTATGATGGCATTGAGATGTCTGATGTCCACTCCCATGTGTCCAAGACGGGTTTGACCCGTACCCCAATATGCAAGCTTGGCTGATCTTCCTAGCTGTGCGCACAGCTAGCCCCTCATGTGTTGTCCCAACTTTGGCTGGTTCAAGCCATTGCTGCGTTTCTATTCCTTTCGGGCAACCAAAAAAAAACTGTTGCGCACGACCCAACCCGCAAGCCGCAACCAGGATACTCCATAAAACATCAGGGCCTCAGCGCGCAAGGGGGTTGCTGTGTGTATCCCGAGTTTGTCTGGGATCTGGGGCTGACCTGGGTCTACTGCTGGACCCCAAGTTACCATCCAATTTTTGATGTGCGTTGTGGGGAAGTCATGGTTTGGGGTACCCCAACTATGAAACTTCAGATCACCCCGAAAGCATCATGGAAAAAACGTCCTGTGTCACCCTGGTGATATAAACAAGGATGAGAAATAATTTCATCACGATGTGACAACATTTGCATAGTTATATTTATATTATATGTATACTCATGTTTCTATGTGTGTATATATATATGTATGTATGTATGTATGTATGTATGTATGTATGTATGTATGTATGTATGTATGTATGTATGTATGTATGTATGTATGTATGTATGTATGTATGTATGTATGTATGTATGTATGTATGTATGTATGTATGTATGTATGTAGTATGTATGTGTGTATGTATGTATGTATGTATGTATGTATGTATGTATGTATGTATGTATGTATGTATGTATGTATGTATGTATGTATGTATGTATGTAGTGTATGTAGTGTATGTAGTGTATGTAGTGTATGTAGTGTATGTATGTATGTATGTATGTATGTATGTATGTATGTATGTATGTATGTATGTATGTATGTATGTATGTATGTATGTATGTATGTATGTATGTATGTATGTATGTATGTATGTATGTATGTATGTATGTATGTAGTATGTATGTATGTATGTATGTATGTATGTATGTATGTATGTATGTATGTATGTATGTATGTATGTATGTATGTATGTATGTATGTATGTATGTATGTATGTATGTATGTATGTATGTATGTATGTATGTATGTATGTATGTATGTATACTCATGTTTCTATGTGTGTATATATATATATATGTGTGTATGTATGTATGTATGTATGGATGGATGGATGGATGGATGCATGCATGCATGCATGCATGCATGCATGCATGCATGCATGCATGCATGTATGTATGTATGTATGTATATTGTACGAGTTGAATTGGAATATAGAACACGTACATGAATCTAGGAGCAGATGTGGTGAGAATCCCTACTGTAACTCGATTTTGGTGAGGACACCAACTTCCAAGAGCATCTCTTGAGTGGAAATTCGGGCATCAAACCATAGTTTTTCCAGGTTATAAATGATAAAAAAGACTGTAGTATAACATAGTTTGCCACCCTAGAAAGATCCGAAAATCCCATGGTATCATTGCTGTGACCACTCGGCTTTTTTTCATTGTTCTGAGGATTCTTTTGCCAAGGCACCACCAGGATTCCCAGCACGGCCGGAATGAGGATCAAGAAATAGTCCGCCGGACCACAGTCCCCACATTCGCCGAAGGTCGAATCCCAAACTGCGGCCGTGGGATTCATCGGCGATGGGATCATGCCATCCTGGCCCTTGACTCATTCCTGGATGGCCACAGACCCATTATCCCATTGTTCTAGGTGCAAATTGTGTAACTGATCTTCAAAATCCATCAGCCTATCTCACTTGGGGCATGGGGTTTTCAACGAACCAACAGAGTTACCCAAGCGAGAAGATGATATTAGCATCGACCGACATTAGGGCGGCTTCAACAACTCTGGAGTCCAAAGTTTCAAAAAATCTGAGATATCGTGATGGATAGAAAAAAACACAATTCTTCCATATTCTTCCATAGTTTTTGCCATCCCCAACCCCCTATTACTGCCAGTTGAAGCCAATTTCACCATGATCTCTGCACGGGTATTGCGGTATTGCTCACAAAAAATGGGGACCCCTGATCATGATTTCCCTCGCCCAAAATGTCCAAATATCCATGGATATCTCCCCCATTTTGAGGACAATCCCACATACGTAACATCGCAATTCTTGGCTGATATCCCAACTGTCATGTACATGCCGATAATACATATATATATATATATATCCCACATACATCCTGGGTTGATAAATTCTTGGTTGATATCCCAACTTTTTTAAAAAAATTCTTTGTCAACCTTCGACAAGGCCGCCCCGCACCTGTCGTTTCTCGCGTGCCGATTCTACACTCGGCACAGCCCGGGGCATTGATCCGACCCACCTTGCAACTGCCCGGCGGGCCCCCGGGACAGGCATGCGGCTTGTGGTAACCTCAGTGGTCGCTAGGGATATGCAGGACCCGGAATTTTCCAGGGATTTATAAGCGATATTCTGTTCCATCTAATCCAATCTAAGATCTAATCTTATGTAATCAAATCTCTGATCTAATTTGATCCAATCCAACCTGATCTAATCTAATCTTACGTATTCTAATCTAAATTTATCTAATCTAATCTAGTCTAGCCTAATCTGATCTAATCTAATCCAATCTAATTCAATCTAATCTAGTCTAATCTGATCTCATCCAATCTGTCTATCTATCTGTCTATCGATCTATCGACCGATGTTGCCTTGTCTTGTCTTGTCCTGCATTGACTTGTCTAATCTCAGCTTACATATGTATGCGTGTATATATATATATGTATGTACACGTTGTATATAGATGTATACATATTAATACATATACAATTATAACATGTATGTATGTATATAATAAGGGTATTATAAGGGTTATCACATTTACACCTAAGCTGTAACCATAGTTGCGAACCAGTTGTTCACTAACATGTACATCAATGCAAGGATCATGGGGACTAATCAAAATGTAGAGTATCACACCATCCTTGCGTGTTTTCTTGTTGATCCATCCACAGTGGGTTTGTCTCAAAATGGTGTATGCATCTACTTCCCAACGACTTGCACCATGACAAACCCATTCAAACAGCCAGGAGTGGGGTTTCAATCCTCCCATTTTTGGACAAACACACACACACAATGTCTGAAATACTTATGTATATATATATATATAGATACGGTGTGTATATATATTATATATATATAGAGAGAGAGAGAGATACATATATATATGTATACATATATATATGTATATATATATATATGTATTTATATATATACAAATATATATATATACAAATATATATATATAAATATATACAAATATATATATATATATACAAATCCATATATATCATATATATATATACACATATGTAGATATACCCCGTTAAAATCTGGCGGTGGTTGTATCCCAAGACCTATTTCGTGAATTAGTGGCACCAGCTCATTCCCATCTGCGATGCTGTGTCAAATCCTAGTGGCATTTGAAGACGCTTAAGGGCTCCTCAGCAGAAGACCAAAAACCTCGCTTCGTTTTCTGAGGAACGGTTTGGGCCTTGCTACGGGCGTTAAGGGGTCATCGTACGTGAATAATTAATGATTCATGTCATTGGGGGAGAACAGTGGGACAACATATTCATGTCACGTATAATGTTCATATATGTTCATAATATTCACTTATCATGGTGATCTACCTGACATGATTCATGAATATACCATTCCTCAACGTTCGACATCATCCAAATTGGCTTCTGCATATCTCTGTGTATCTTACTTGACAAAACAAATTGACGACAAAGCTATTCTTTACAAGTCGCTGTAGCCCCGCAGCTGGTGATGATCTTGGATACCGCCAACAATTACTTTACTTCAAGTGATCCCCACGGCATTTCAAGACATATATTTCGATATATATTCAGACACTTTACCCAACATTCTATCTGGCATTCTAGCTGACAGCGACCGGGGACCACTGCGATCGCGAGCTTGCAGTTGAGGTCCGGCGGAAGGAACGAAGGACGGAAGGAAGGAGTAGAGCTGACATAAAATCTAACAACCCTCACCCGACAGGTGGGGAACAAGATGCTTTTGGAGCTTAGTAGATTAATATTCCCAGATCCAAAGGGTGGAAGCTGGTACGGGCCAATTGCTGGCATCTCTAGCGATATCTAGTGCGATCGTAGGATTACGGGTACCATTGGTGAAATCATTTAGCCACTCTAAATGACTAAAGTTAGTAACAAAATCCGGCAATGACTTTTGCAAAATATATAGTTCTTCAGTCTTCAATCGAAATTGCCAAAACTTAGTGTACTCATTCCGAAACCATTCACCAGCTGGTTAATCCGTTAATCCACTGAGTGAGACTTACCGCTATTTCCAACCATTTTCGTTGCAAGATGAAGCAGCAATGTTTGCTGGTTGTGTACCAGAATCTTTACTGATTAGATATGGGCTAATACGGCTGTGTCTGAAAAATATGGTATCTACCCTCTGGTTATGTCAAAATAGCTATTGAAAATGCCCATGTATAGTGGATTTTCCCATGAAAAATGGTGATTTTCCATAGTTTTCTGTATGTTTACCAGAGGCTAAAAACCTGTTGGTCAATCATGTTCCCTATTGAAATTGCCAGTTTGGAGGCTGCATCCCCCATGTTCAGACACACCCAAATATCATATTGTTGCACACATATCCCATCATACCGCCACTACCTTCCAGTAAACTAAGATAGTTGTGGAAAATCACCATGAATTATAGGTAAATCAACCATTAATTGTAGGTAAATCACCATTTTTTAATGGAAAATCACCATGAATTGTAGGTAAATCAAGCATTTTTATTGCCATGTTGCCATGTTCGCTATGTCAAAAAATACCCGAAATGATCTCCCCGAAAAAAACCACCTGGTTCGATGGAGATCTCCCCATTGAAGTAGCAGCGTGCTCCCTTTGGGCATGGTATACCTGGGCGACGATGTCTATTTGTAGCGGTGATTTTATGTGATTTTGTGATCTAGATGGGGATCTATCAGATGATTTATCATCAAGAATGCGTACATTCACCAGCAAACATCGACGGGGGGTTCAACAAAAAGACTCAAAATGGTTGCCGGAAGCTTGTTTGGCATGTTATGAGGGACAGACATGTCCAATCATTTCCATATGTAATCATATGTACTTATATGTAGATGTATACATGCATTTTTGATAGGTACATGTCTTAAGAAGCAAATCTTCGGCCAACGGCTCTCCCATGGCAACATGGCCAGTGCATCCATCGCCAAAGTGCATCGTTTTTCCACCAAGAGATATCCATCTTTGCACTGACAGAAATCCTGGCCATGGTCAATGGTCATTTTGTAGAGCAATGTATATAATATAATATAATATAATATATATAACATAATATGTAATATAATAGAATATGTAATATATAATATAATATCTCATTTTATCTAATATAATTTGAATATAATATAGTGTAATATAATATAATAGTGGATTATATTGTGGTATGTTATGTTATATCATATTATATCATATGATATTTTGTCATATCATGTCTATAGATATATATGTTATATGTGTATAATATATATATTTTATATATACTATTATATATATATATATATATTCTATGTATATTGTATATTGTATATATATATGGGTGTATGATGGTGTGTTTACTTTTACTGTGTCATGGGGTATAATGGGAATGTGTATATATATATACACACATATGATGGGGATATGCATGATAGAGATATAGAGTTATACTGAGGTATTAGTCAGCACTATGGTATTTGACACTGTACAATCACGTGGTATCCCTGGTACCATTTTCAGACAAGCCCATTTAAACTGGTTAACCAACCATGTCCAAGATGTATTGATACAGTAAATTGGTAAATACAAATGTGGTTGTCTAATTGTTAGATGTGCTATATCAATGGTGTACTTATATGGGAAGTATAATATTGATGTTCAATTAATTAGGAAATACGCATACATAGGGACATATTAAACTCATCTGTATTTATCAGTGGGGATCTATCCGTCTAGAAACATTAGACAATGATAGTGTTCTTATATAAATAGTAGGGGTGTATATTGAACGGATATGTAATGTATGTGTATATATATATATGGGGATATCTTAATACAAATAGATTGCTATGGTGTGCGAATACTGTATAGAGCAACTACAAAGAAGATGCAGAACATCATAAAGTTACATTCCAAAGTACAGTGACAAATTTGATCTCTTCTGAATCTTTTCGCGGTTGCTATATATTCAGCAATGGCTATAGTCTATATATAGGGATATATGAATATGGCCCATATTGATATACAGTATGTACTTGTATAGGGATATGTCGGGATATATTAATGTTATATTAGCAACAATAGAGTCCCAATACAGAGATGCATTGGGATTGTTCATGTCGTTTTTTGAGTAACCATCGACAATGGGGATATCACCAAAAAACAGGGTTTTTTTTAGTCTTAGTAACCATCGACCATGGGGATATCACCAAAAAATAGGGACAAATTTGGGTACATTTCACAGGACATAGAAAACTGGGATCAGATGCGCTGGGCAAATTCTCCACAACGGGATACCAAATTTGCTGGACTGTGGAAACTGCCATTTTCGGTGCTCTGGGTACCGGCCAAGTCATTGGAATGGCGAATCCTTGCCAATCCACAAGCACCATGGTTTCGCACAACACTTCCTCACATATACATAAATGTGTACACACATACTCATACACACATATACCCGGCCTGGTCAACGAACTAACATAACGAACTGGAAAGAAAGATCCACCATTTTTACAGTACTGGGTAAATTAATCCACTATTTCGACTGGGCCATTTTTCAATAGCGAACTGTTAGTTTACCAGGCCGGGTATCTGGAGATTTCCCAAAATGGCGTGCCCCCCAAATCATCCAACGGGGCGCCTCCCCACGAGCGCCCTGCGTGCGAATCCTCACAGAGGAGCCGTCTTCCGCATCCACCAGCCTTGTCCGTGGCTTGGGATGCGGATTTTGGGTGATGACCTTTGGAAAAAAAGCGGAAAAATGTGGAAAAATCCCACTGACCATAACCATACAGACCATACATCATGAAAAGTATGGGATTTCACGGCAACTAAATTCAGTGATATGTGTAGCCGGTGTAGCTGTTGGTATCAAGCTTGAAGAAATGGGCATAACTCCCAAATGACACTTGGTGGTGGTGAAAATTGAATGTGCACTAGCTTGATTGATGCCAATGACTACAATCATATGTCCAAGATGGGAAAATGCTAACCTCACTGGAGAAGTTGGAATATCCAAAAGCCACCAGAAGGGTCATTCATGACCCTTCATGACCCTTCAACCAGGGGGGGTTGCAGCAACCTCCAGAACTGACCTTGGACCCTCAGATCCCATCAGAGTTCCAATTTTGGAATCACGTCACAACAACTCCCATCGGAGGATCCTGTACAATGTGGCAAACCCAATCATCACCCCCAAAAAAAGATGGTGATCACCTGGTATTTTGTGAACATGCTTGGATCCCCAATACAGGGCCAATTGAAAAGCTACCCCGCAAACCGAAAGCAACTTTAGCTGGTTGGCATGTATCCCTAATGGGAAAAGATTGAAACTGTACCACACCAAGTTTACTACAAGAACCGTCATTCATGGGATTTTCTGAAATGATGAAGCCCAAAAACCATTGGTTTCAGGGTCAAAAATGAACAGTTTTGGATTTAGAAGCGGTTCTGACTCCTTCAAGTTCAAAATATTCGAGAAAAACAATTCGCTAATGAGTCAAGATTGTCTTTCAAGCAACAATACAAAGATAATTATATAACAATATCATTGATATGTCAAAACAAGACAAAATAAAAATAAAAAGAAAAAATCCTCCATATTTCGTTTGACAAGCGGGCACCTGCTGGTGGTGAAGAGGTCCAGTTGATCTTCATCAGTTCCTTGATGCGAAAAAGTCGCATCATCTCATGCCATTTAGAATTCAGAAGTTTCCTAAGAAAAATACAAGGGGTATCCCCAGGAAACCATCCATGTTCAGAGGATTTTCCAGTCATCAACCAGCTATTTTTGGGGGTGTTTGGTGTTGGGATTTTCCACTTTGTCAGCAACCTCAACTTCAACCAGCTATTGGGGTATCCCCCAGGAAACCACCAGAAGGGATGGAAGGTCTGATCGCCACTTAAAGATGTTTTGAAAAAACGGGGGTGTCTATGTATGTCTATGCGCATATGTATAAATACAAATAAACAAACAAACCAATAAATAAATAAATAAACAAACAAATAAATGAATAAATAAGCAAATAAATAAACAAATACTGTAAAGAACGAAATGAATGTACGTATCTAATTATATGTGTATACATAAATGTGGTCACCAATTTGGGAGTCCCAAAAATTACTCGGATTTGACCCAGGGACCACAAGAGAAGCAGCGAGACATTCCAGTGGAATTGGCGTAGGACCCCAAGTGACACGCCGTGCACTTCGTCTGCCCTTCCTGCACAAAACCATAGGATTTGGTGAGAACTAGGTCCTAGGTGGATTCTATGATTTATGGTAGATATCGAACTAGATTTTGTGGTGGATAAAAATGGTATTTAAGCATATTTATGGTTTATTTAAGTTGATTCTATATGGTTTATAAAAGAACTTACAACGGGCACCACCTTGTATGGAAACTCAAACGCAGACCAGTCAAAAACTTCAAAATCATGCCTGGGACTTCTGATTGGGACTAGAAATCCCTCTCCCAACAGGCTGCTCCTGCTAAGAGTAACCCCTTCTTGAGATCAAGAACCGGTGAATTTTGACGCATTTTGGAAATGAATGTTATCAAATTCATCTGGTTGGTGGTATACCTACCCCTCTGAAAAATGATGGACAACTCGTCAGTTGGGATGATGACATTCCCAATATGATGGGAAAGTCATAATCCAGCCATGTTCCAAACCACCAACCAGTCATTCAAATTGCTACGCGTCCCATGGTCTTCCAAAAAAAATCGGTCGCCTCTTTGGCGATAAAGCCTTCCAAGCAGGGCAAACAACTCACCGCGTTGGGCAGTTCTTGGTAGAAACCTGGCGTGAAACGCCGATGATCGGCTGAAAAATGGACTGTTTTGAAGGAAAAACGACAGAAAACCATGGTTCGAGCACCCCAAAAAAAAACAGGTGTCTTGTAAATTTCCCATGAAGCAATTCCATCGGCTGGTTACGCCACAAAAAAGGGACTTGAAGCAGATGTTTTCCAAGCCACTTCAGAGACGAAACACAAAAAATGCTGGGTGACTCCTTTTTTTTTCAAGCTCTGAAAACAATGCCCACTTTTCAGCTTGAAGGACTTGGAGGACTTGACCACCGTTTGGAACGATCAAAACAAAACGATGGCCCATGAGGGTTCTTTCATGGGGATTTGGTCGCAGAAAAACCTGCTAAGGTACCCGGGTGAGTTGAGCATTTTTTGACGTCTAAAGATTTTCAGAATTCCCATTTTTTGGCCCTAAAGATCTAAGATTTTCCGGATGCATCCAGTTTTTTCAGACGTCAGCAAAAGCTGGTGGTGGTGTTTAAGCAACAAAGCTGGGGAGATGCATCAACTTTCAGATCGATCATTTCTGGATTTCCCCCCAGAAATGGTTGAGGGCGTTAAAAGGCCCCATTCTTGTTGAATAGGAAATCCCTAGTTGCTGCTGGTTAAAAAAAACAATCTTTGTTGGTACAAACCCTAAAGGTTTGATGGTAAAAGGTGGGTTTGCACTAAAGTTTTTGTTGATGCTTAAAACACCCATGCGTGTTGCTTCGATCCAAGTTTCATGCTTCTATATCACTGCTTTGTTGCTTATTTGGTTTTGTCTGGAATTGGGGCAAAACCACCAAACATGTATTTAAATAAGCACAATGATGCTCTAAAAAATGGGATGTGGTGGTTTTCCCCTAAATGTTCCTGCAAACAAAATGATCATAGACCCCATGTTGGCTAGCTATATATCCAATATATCACAGAACATATGCCAATACATAAGAATATATATATATATATACACATCAGGTGTTGTATATCATATATATATATATGTATACACATACATTTTTTTTTGGCAGCCATACCTCGCATCGACTGAATTAGACGATTGAGCTGCGAGGCGTTGGCGCAGCAAGAGACTGAACGCTAAAACTGTCTGCTTACGGCTGCTTCATACACCCTTTGATCGTTCATTTGAGTCTCACCATAATCATAATGCCCTAATATGTTTTCATAAACATACTTTTTGGTATGATGCAGCCAATTTTGACGAGGCTTTCCAACTCGCTTGGTTCCGTATTCAACTCTGTGCGCAGAATCAGGTAGAAAAGAAATTTGCCTCATAGGGTCATTGCCGTTGCTTCTTAATATGTGTCCAAGCAATTTTACTCGTCTATTCATGTGATACTCACTGAACGGTATAATTTTACTGCGGTCAAAGCGAGATGGGTAAGCGATGGAACTTGCTTCTGCTAATAATGATTTGTTTGTATTTCTACGGTCTATAAAAGTGGAGTTGCGTTGTAAAATTCTCCGTAGGCCGCGCATCTGGAAAGCATCTAATTTTCTGCTCATAGCCTGCGTCAAGTGAATGGTTTCTAAACCATACAACAATTTACTACGAATTATGGCATCATAGATAATGAGTTTCCATTTTTTACTCGCTCCGGATGCTTTCCAGTACGGCTCAAGCTTGTACCATGTGCGTCGCACTTCCGACATTTTGTTAAAGATCTCGAATTGCATGTTGACCGTCTTGTTTATTTCATTTCCCAAGTATGTGGCTTCGAATTCCTTTGTTAAAGGGGTACCATCGTCAAAATGGATGGAACCATTATTATTCATGGCGATTGCGACACATTTACCTTTATTGAGTCCCAAGCCATATCCTTTGGACACGTGCTCGGTGAGACGCAACAATTCATTTAACCCTCCGTTGCTTCTTGATAAAAGCACTGTGTCATCTGCGTAAAAAACTCATGTCAAAGTCCACCCCGGGGATTCGGTTGTTAGTAACATACGATGAAACGCTCTGCTGGATATCAAAATCTATGCAGGCCATGACGAAGACAAAAAGAAATGGGGATAATGGACATCCTTGACGAATCCCGGAGGCCTGTTGCTTAGTACTGGATGAACCAAAATTATCTTTGACGAAAAACATAGGCTTAGAATAACAATCCGCAATGACCTCAGTATAGCGACGGCTGAAGCCCAGTCGGCGCAAAGCAAGAATAAGCTTGTCATGTTGAATTTTATCAAACGCTTTTTCCCAATCGAGTAAAGCAATGCTAAGGTGGGTCCCCTTAATTTCTGAATAGTCCTGAATCCTTCTGAGAATGTATATTGCATGCGAAGTTGATCTATGAGGTCTGAAACCGTACTGGGTCCTTGAAAGTACTTGCTCCGTCGCGTCCTGCATCCTGGCCCTGATCATAACCATGTATATTTTGTAAAAACTGTTTAACAATGAGATTGGTCTATAGTTAGAAGCAATATCGGTATCTCCCTTTTTAAAAATTGGGACAACACGGGCAAGAAACAATGCCGACGGAGCTGTTTGGGATTCCCACCAAGTGTTAATAAGATCTAGTAAAGCGCGCCTGTTGGCATTGTCAAGCCACTTAACCAGTTCCATGGTTATCCCATCAGGGCCTGGTTGTTTTTTGGGTTTCGCCCTTTTAATTGCTGCACAAAGTTCTGGCATCGTGAAACATTCTTCTAAAGCATTGTTATCTTCAAGTATACTGCCAGTGTTCACCGCGTGTTCCACTGGATTAGTCCAATGTATTTTTTCGAGATAGTCTGCTATTGTTTCAGCTCTTTGGTTCAAAGGGACATGCTTCCCATCTAAGTTTTTCATCTTTACATAGTTTGGAACAAATTTCTTCTTTAAACCCTTGACCGCTTTCCACAATCCCCTCTTATTGATGTCATTTGGGTTTTCGTTAAATTCTTCTATCAAACAACTTTGCTTGTCCCTTCGAGCCATGCGAGCAATTTCTCTATTAAGGTCTGCAATATCTTTCTTTGTCGCACCGATCCGCGTTTTTTCATTTCTTTCCTGGATTTTTTCCCATGTTTCATGTTTGATAAATTTCTTTTTTTTTCTCCCTCGGCTCCCTATCAAGTGCATCATCTGCTCCCTCCAAAATAGCTTTTGTAAAAATGTCTAAATCACATCGCTTGCCGTCTAGTAGGGAACGAACTTTATCGTTGTAGGCCTTGCATTTCATAGGGTCAGGTTTGGAGTAACGTTTAGTTTGGAAAGAGTTACCTTCCTTCCCACACATCGTTGTCACGGTAAGCCTACACTCTAACAAGAAATGGTCTGAGTCAAACCCAACGTCTTTTCTACTTTGGACATACACATACATACATATATATATATACATATACATATACATATATAACATACATATATATATATATACATACATACAGTATATAATATATATATATATATATGTATGTGTTAGAAACAGACCTAAGCTATCCCCCAGCAAATGTTCGTTCGCCTGGTGGGCAGGGCTGGCAGATGGATGAGCGCGCCCATGGTACTGAGGAATGCCCCGCAGGGCACACGGCGCAGCTTCTGGCGTCGCCTCGTGAAGAGTTCTGTGGATCTGTTACTGTGGATAATGTCGATATATGTATGTATGTACGTACGTACGTATGTATGTATATGTACATGTATATATATATATACATATATACACATGTACATATGTATACTTGTGTCACGTGGATAATACGGATAAGATATTGATACTCTAGTTAATATACTTACTGTGTGGATAATATCGTGAATAGCGAAACCCCATTATAAGATGGGGTACCAAAAGAATCATCGGGAGAATCGTTGGGGAATAAGATGATATGAGCAACATGGTGAATACAATTGTATATAAATACATGTGGAGAATATTGACAATATGGATAATATGATGAATATGGATCATATGGATCATATGTGGATTGCAAAGGGGGTGAAGGAGAATAAGATGGATACTTCGAATATTTTACACTTATGTGGATGTCATATCGTGAATAGCCAATTTGTTTCCTTTTGCTGTGAAAATGATGTTTGGCAAATTAACCAAGTTATGGATCTCGGAATATGAAAATATGGGAGTGTTGGCTCTTGGAAAATGCTGAAAAAATGTAAGCTCAATATAAGATCGGAAAGTTATTGATGGTGTTTCAACTCGATCTTTGAATCCCGGTTTTTATCGCATAGTGAAAAATAACCTGCTTTCATGGTTGACCCACATTTTTAACCGAAATTACTACGTGTTCATATTTCAATCCACACTTCATCCATGTTTGGATGTTTCAATTAAGTGGAATCCAGATTTTTCATAGGTCAAATAATTCCATGGAAAAATCAGCATATGACAATATTCCATGTCAATGGTCAAATGATTCCATAGTGCCATAGGTCAATTAAAATGACTTTCTTTCCATGATGAAATGGGTATGAATCAATACCTATATAGATACCATTTTTAGTGGGTTATTCACATCCATTTTAACCCAGCTATGACTTGGGCTTCACGGCACGGTACCAGGGTGCCATGACCCATCCCCAAATGATGATTTTTCCACGTCGCCTGCGGTGGCATCGCTGCGCATCCAGCGCCCGGCAGAATCCCGCAGGCCGCTGCCGCTGGCGCAGGACCTTATTGGATCTATAAATCGTAACTACTTACTATAGAGGGTATAGTTAATATTAATATGATGGTAGAAAAAAAAAAACTCACAATATTTTTGGGTATATCATGGTATATCTACTTACTATAGTTACTATAGATGATATCAATCTACTTACTTGGATGTGCATCCCACGAACCGGAAGTGGTTAATGAATCCATGTATAACCCGTAGAATATACCATAGAAGTGGGGATATTCCGTATCTATATATATATATACAACTGGGAGTATAACCCATTTACTAAGTGGGCTGCACCCCCAAGTAATAATGAAATTGAATGGGATTTAGTGGGATTTAAAGGGTATGTACTTGGATACGTAACCAGAACTGTTTGGTGTGTGGTACCTTAGCTGATTGGAGATTATGGGATGCCCCTTTCGGTGTCCTCAACCATGGCGGAGGTTTGTTTATAGCTGGGAAGATCATACTTTTTGAATGGTGGATTCGATGATGATTCTAATCACCGGTACATGATCGTGGTTCGTTTTTTTCAAACTGTGGATGGTTGCGAAATCCTGCACCACCAAAAGGATGGTTGAAACCCTATAAATAATGGGATAAACCATTATTTGTCAACTGGTGCAGGATTTCGCAACCATCCACAGTAGTATGCGCATATGTATGCTTGTACCACTATGTATGCAGTACATGCAGTACATGATCCAAAGGAACTTAACATCAACGTAGTGGATAGAATAGGAGTTATAGAGGGGGATACATTTTGACACATGGGATTACAAATCTCTGAGTAGCTGAAAATCGTTTTTTTTCCTGAGTATCACAGTTAAATCATATTATATATATATATATTATATTATATATTATATATATATATTATATATATATATATTATATATATATTATATATATTATATATATATATTATTGAAAGTATGATATGTTTTTTGCGAATTTGGACTGGTCCTTGGCTTTAGTATCCATGCTGGTCGTATACCACGGTAAATCTAAAACGACGTGCCAATTCGTCGGAAGCTCCTCCGGGAACCCCGGAACGCTGGGTGACCCCGAAGGCTGTTGGGGAAAAAATATAGGAGGCTACCCTCTGGTTATGACTAACATAGCCATAAATAAAAAAAATGCCCATAGAAATAGATGGTTTCCCTATTAAAAATGGTGATTTTCCATGGCTATGTAACAAATAACCAGATGGTAAACCATAGAAATAGTGGATTTACCGAACTTAATAGCATGGTGGATCTTTCCATGGCAAACTGTTAGGAAAATAACCAGAGGCTAAACAGCAATCATCACTTGGGAAAACATGACGATTGGTTTGTCAGCTGGTCGTATCTGGATCCAGCATGATCGTACAGAGCTGGGAGGTTCATAGTAACGGATTCAGAGCTGTGATGCCGGCAAATTTGATGGGATATTGGGATATTCACAAACAAATTATTCAGAAAATCACAACAATATCCCAATATATCAATCGTGTTATTGGAGATATCAATGAATATTCAGAAAATCCAACAATCATCGGAGAATGGCATACATGCCAAATAGTCCAAGCTAGCGGAACAATAGTTGTGTATTTACCGGCTAAACCAAATCTACTGTACATGCATGTCTATATATATAATATATTATATATTTATATATTTATATATATTTATTAATAGGGAATTCATAGGAATTAATAGAAAACCTGAACGAGGGACCTCAGATGAACAAACCCATGACTAAACCAGGTTTCCATTTAAGTGTATTTGATATTAGGAGAACGGGTTCAGAATAGTTTTTGTGTGTTTTTTTGCTCAGGTTTCGGATTTTTTTTGGCTTTCTTTCCTGGTACCATGTGCATTGTATTTGCATAGTATGGAACTAGAATCTGTCATTTTGCATGATATTTGCTAGATTTTGGCATGCTTACTTTGCATTTTGCATGGTATTTGCTACATTTGGCAATGTTCGCCTTCCATTTTGCATGGTATTTGCAACGTTTTGGCACTTCAACCTCTCATTTGCATGGTATTTGCTACATTTTGGTACTTCAACCGTTCATGTGGGCTTCTTTAGGGTTTCATTTAGGGTTTCATTTAGGGTTTCATTTAGGGTTTCATTTAAGGTTTCGTTTAGGGATTCTTTAGGGCTACATTTAAGCTTTATTTAAGGTTTCATTTAGGGTTTCTTTTGGTTGAGGGTTTCTTTACAGTTTCATTTAGGGTTTCATGTAGGGTTTCATTTAAGGTTTCGTTTAGGGATTCTTTAGGGCTACATTTAAGCTTTATTTAAGGTTTCATTTAGGGTTTCTTTTGGTTGAGGGTTTCTTTACAGTTTCATTTAGGGGTTCATGTAGGGTTTCTTATCAGGATTTCCAAACGTTCATGTGGGTTTCTTTAGGGCTTCTTTCGGGTTTCATTTAGGGATTCTTTATGGTTTCTTTAGGGTTTCATTTAGGGTTTGTTTAGGGTTTCATTTAGATGTTCTTTATGGTTTCTTCAGGGTTTCATGTAGGGTTTGATTTAGGGATTCTTTAGGGTTTCATTTAGGGTTTCATGCAGGGTTTCTTATCAGGATTTCTTATCAGGATTTCCAAACGTTCATGTGTGTTTCTTCAGGGCTTCTTTAGGGTTTCATTTAGGGTTTCATTGGGGGTTTCTTTAGGGTTTCATTTCGGGCTTCATTTAGGCTTTCTTTAGGGCTTCATTTAGGGGTTTCTTTAGGGTTTCATTTAGGATGTCTTTAGGGTTTCATTTAGGGTGTCTTTAGGGTTTTTTGGGGTTTTCATTCAAAGTTTTTTTAGGGTTTCATTTATGGTTTCTTTAGTGTTATATAAATTATGGCTTCTTTAGGGCTCATTTAGGGTTTCATGTAGGGGTTTCTTATCAGGAGTTCTTATCAGGATTGCTTTAAAGTTTCTTTGGGTTTCACCTAGGGTCTTTAGGGTTTCATTTAGGATACAAACAGGAGAGAATAAAGCAAAAGAAAAGGAAAAAAAAACAAAGAGGTAGTAAAGACAGGAAGCAGAGAAGCAGAGGAGCAGGAAGTAGAGCAGCAAAACACATGACTGAAGAAAAGAGACAAGTAGAATAGTAGAAGTAGAAAGGCACAGAAGCACAAAAGCAGAGAAGCAGAGAAGCAGGGAAAGCAGAGAAGCAGAAAAGAAAAGAAAAGAAAAGAAAAGAAGCAGGTAAAGCAGAGAAGCAGAGGCATGAAAAGCAGAGAAGCAGGAAAAGCAAAAAGAAGGAAAAGCAAAAAGCAGAAAAGCAGAGAAGCAGGGAAGCAGAAAAGCAGAGAAGCAGAAAAGCAGAGAAGCAGGAATAACAAAAAGCAGAAGCAAAGAAGCAGAAAAGCAGAGAAACAGGAAAGCATAGAACCAGGAACCCCAAAAAAAAATCAAAACCTGCCACGAAAAAAATAAATATATAAATAAATAAATAGCCCTCCTAGGAGAAAGGAATGGAACTCATGATTCTCATGATTATATAGTTGATCCATCAGGCAGTAGCCCAAGAAAACTGGCATGTTTCTCATGTTTCCTCAAGTCTGGGAATGGTTCCCTCCAAAAAAGAGAAGAATAAGCGGTCAACAGAAAAAGTGGAATGACTCTTCCTACCATAAGTTCTGGGGGTTTGACCTCGTCATTGCAAGGCCAAGCTCCACCTTTTGATAGATGCCTCGTTCATCCTTGTTCCATTGTCTTTTTTTTTGACTTTCGGTAGTCACCCAAAATCCCATATAACTCCATGATCAACCGGATACGGAGACCCTTCCACTTCACCAGTGGGTCTGAGGTTTTGAGGCAAACCCACGCCAAAAAGCCTTCAAACAAACTGGAAACAGAAGACCTCCCTCCCTTTTTGAAGCAATAAAGCTAGATTTCAAACCTGGCCAATTCTGGCCAATCGCCTCGTTCCTCACCATCCGGAGACCAGGGTTTTGTCCGAGACGGGCCGGTGCCAAAGTGAATGGATGCTCAAACATGGATGCAACAAAAAGAAGTGGTTGGAATCAACCTGGATCTATTGGTTAAATATTGAAAAATATGGTTTTTATTACAATTACAGTAACATTATCCCGCATATTTGGCCTGGCAAAGCCACCAGAGAAAACGATCAGACCCATTCCCAGGTTTCCAGACGTGGCGTTGGGGAGCCAGCTGTTCCAGGTGTCAGGGTTCCTCGGTGCCAGACAATGGGTTTTACCACAAAAAAGTGAGATTTGCCCGTGAAAAGGGGTCATCTCACCAAGCAAAAATGTGGATTTGAGCATGAAAACTTGGGTTTTTGCATGAAAAATTGGGAGTTGGATATCAAAAAAACGGTTTTTTTCCAAGAAACATTGGAACGTGTTCTTTATTTTCACTTGGTGCAACTCTTCAGGAAAATCGTACATATTGTGCATTTGCTCATTAGGATTGTTTTCGCCCAATATTTCTGAGTGCATATATGCGCATTAATGTTTGTTTTACCTTTTTTGCATGTTGCAGTTCTTCTTTATTTTTACTTAATATAATACCAGGGTCTTCTTTGTATGCCATCTGTATTCAGAAACTCATCAGCAAAACGTCCAACAGATCTGATTTGATGTTTCACGATTTACCAGTAGTACCGCACAAGGCGGCGGCGAAAGTTTCAAAAATAGGAAACCTGTAGGAGAGGTTGGTTGCTGTGAATCCCGGATGGCAGAGCCACAACTGCTGGATGTAGTGTGGTGTAGTGCAGTTGCAGTTGTAGTTGTAGTGGAGTTGTAGTTGTATTGTAGTGTAATTATATAGCGCAGTTGCAGTTGTAGTTGTAGACGCGGGTGTTAGCTGCAAAGCAGTGTAGCGTAATGTAGTGTGGTGTACTGTAGTGTACTATAGTGTAGTGTACTGTCATGTTGTGTCCTCTAGTGTAGTATAGTGTAGTGTAGTCTAGTGTAGTGCGTGTGAAGTAGTGTAGTTGCAGTTGTAGTTGTAGTGTAGTGTGGTGTAATTAGTGTAGCGTAGCGTAGCAAAGCATAGTGCAATGTAATGTAATGCAAGTGTAAATGTAATGTAATATAAATGTAGCGTTGTTGTTGTTTAGTAGTAGTAGTAGTAGTAGTAGTAGTAGTAGTAGTAGTAGTAGTAGTAGTAGTATGTCTATCTATCTATCTATCTATCTATCTGTCTATCTATCTATCTATCTATCTATCTATCCTGTCTATCCTATCTATCTATCTATCTATCTAATCTAATCCAATCTAACCTAATCTAATCCAATCTAACCTAATCTAATCTAATCTAATCTATCTATCTATCTATCTAATCTATTCTACCTATCTATCTATCTATCTATCTACCTATCTATCTATCTATCTATCTATCTATCTATCTATCTATCTATCTATCTATCTATCTATCTATCTATCTAATCTGTCTGTCTATCTGTCTGTCTGTCTGTCTATCTGTCTATCTGCAAGCTTGAAAACGAAGCTATTCTGCGAGACTTCCTCAACTTGGGAACTTGATAACGTCAAAAAGGAAGCAATTCTGCGAGGCGTCCTCAATTTTTGAATTTGACAACGTCAAAACGAAACACATCTGCGAGACATCCTCAATTTTCGAAGTTGACAACATCAAAAACGAAGCAATTCTGCGAGATGTCCTTCAATAATGGAAAGTTGAGTGCAGAGCTGAAGGCCTCGTGCCAATTGGCTTTGCGATTTTTCTAGTCCATGTCTCTAAAGTATTGCACCTGCCAGGAAAAAATGAGGCCAGGCCATACGAAATGCAAACTGACATGAGAATGCTGATTTCGATGAAATCCTAATAAATCTCAGGGTTTTCCCCTACAAATCATCACGCTCATATGGAAAAAATTAGATCTCCTACAATTAAGTTAAATGGATCATTCCGCTATCATACCTAATATATCCTAGTAATAGTAATAGTAATAGTAGACATCCCAGATATTTCCGATGATGTGATTTCGGGTATTCGCCTAGCAAGTCTAGTAATATCCTGATAAAATCCAATAATGAACTACTGATCCAGTTTGTTTTGTGCGGTTTAGTATGATGCAATTACCCCTTACCAGTAGTAAACATCCCAGCAATCATCCCGATGATCATCCCAGTAGTAGCCCTCATCCAGATTTGGATCCAGATACCTTGAATTTAGATCCAGATACCTTGAATTTCACATATATACATAGAAATCTATTTAGGTAGATAGATGCAAATGTGATATGACATATATCTATGCACGTAAGTCTCTTTGCAGCCCCACTCCGGCTATTTTTCGTCCACGATCGTTTCGACTTCTTCTGCGCTCGCTTGGCAGCCGCTTCCGCGGATCGCTTACGCAAGTCACCCTCACGCAGCTCCAGAGGGGGAAGTTCAAGAATGAGGGGATAGTGTGAATCAGCATCGTTGTCTGAAAGTCTCAACTCCTCACTTGTCCAGCGCTCCGCCACCGCGCTTTTCACTGCGCCTCGCAGCTGAGGCAGCTTTGCGAAATTCAGCAGCACGCAACAGATCTCCGCGCTGCGATCACCATGTAGAACCTCGTAACTCGCTCCCTCGAACTGCTCGATAACACAATCCACTGCATCACGAATAGCCTGGGGTTCTAAGTTGAAGTCGCCTGCAACGACACGATGTTTGTCTCGGAGCGCCAACCAAAATAGTGTCTTTAATGCAATCTTGCACGACTCGACGGAACGCTTCTCGTCGTTGTGGACGTGCACTGTGGTAACCCGGAAGGAACTGAGGCCGGCTCGAGATATAACTCCACCGTTCGCTTCATTGACCCATTGCACCTCCGCAGACAGGCAAACTAATGAATGGATGCGATCACCTTGTTTGGCCGAATCCTTGTAGGGTCGCTCCATCAATCCATCCCAGGTCGGATATATACGGCTGAGATACTTTGTCCCTGTCTGTCCAGCTAGGACAGCCATGCATGACCCAACCCGGCCTAGACCCTCTAAGATGCACATGTCCCGTGCTTTTGCAATTCGGTGCAAGATGCCACAGGAGTGAGCTTCTTGAAGAAGGACGACCGAAAAATTGCCTGCTATGAAATCAGAAAAGCGCCGGCTGCGATCGATGAAGCCGGCATTTGCGACCAACAACGATATCGTATTCGTGCTTTGCAAGTCTACGGGCAAAGTGCTCGAAGATGACGGCAACGCAAGTGACCGGTTTGTTGTAGGAGACGGATCCTTGTAACCGATTCTCCAAAATGCAAAACGCTTTAGAAAGCGCTACAAAACTTTCACGTTTTGTGCACTGTTGGGAAGGTGCAGAATCCCTTACGCCTGCCACACCAAATGACATCTGAACGTCCAAAAGTGCTCCGAACCTGTCAGTTTTTAACCCTTTTGGCTTGGAAATGTGCTTCGCGCCACAACGGCGTGCACTTTATCATTATCGACATGTCAACTTCCAAAAGTGCTCCGAGAATGGGTGCTTCACGCCACAGCAGCATCTACTTTTTCGATGTCTCAACTTCCAAAAGTGGCCCGAGCATGGTGTGTTTTTGCATTTTGACTTGGAAGTGCGTCGCGCCACAATGGCGTGCACTTTTTCGACATCTCAACTTGCAAAAATGCTCCGAATATGAGGTGCTTTCTAAATTTTGACTTGGAAATGTGCTTCGCGCCACAACGGCGTGCACCTTTTCGACATCTCAAATTCCAAAAGTGGTCCGAGAATGGTGTGTTTCGTACATTTTGACTTCCAAACGCGCTTCGCGCCACAACGGCGTGCAATTGTTCATCTCTCATCTGGCTAGATGGCTTTAGCGAGCCTACTTTGCGACCTTTCGGAGCCACAAATCATTGCACACAGAGAATCGCGACTGTTCTACCTTTTTCCGCACCTGCATCTTCTTTTTTCTGACTCTGTCTCTTCTCTGATATTCTCTCTTCTTCTCTTCTCTTCTCTGACTCTTCCCACCGCTGCTTTTCCATCTGTCCATATTGTCGGAAGTTTGACTTCTAAACTTCCTTCGAAAATCATGGTACCTCCGAGTGAAACTCATTTCGGATGTCACCAGAAACTCTTGTTTCAAATTTTCTCGCTAGCAAAATCACAGAAAGTGAATCAACGGAAATTGAGAAGATTCAGAATAGTTTCAGCAGTAGGGATAGGCTGAAAAGACTGTGGCATTGAGGAAATTCATTGATATCAGGGATTCTCCACCGATCAAATAGGGATAGGATCTTAAGCCAATGGATAATATCGGATAAAATGATGATGTTAACCCTCAACAACTAGGGGTGTAACCAACAAAGGTCGGGTTTGACCAACCCAAAAGTGGGGATAATAAGCCAACAGAAATGTGTTTTTACCAACAAAGGACGGATGTCAGCATGAAAAATGGTGGTGGAATGAGCAAACATGGTGGATGAATAGCACATTTGTCTTCAAAAATCCACCATGTGATGTTCTGTCCTCATAGGCGGGAAAACGCTTATTGGGCTATGTACTTTGACATGTATTATCATGTACTTACGAAGTATGATTTCTTCTGCATTTCGTAAATACAACTTTGGTGTGTAAAAAGTCCGAGAAAAATTTGGGTGAAGCTCCCCACTGTGATTGATGTTCGTTCCTCCGTGCTCTGCCTGCGGGGTGAATCCTTCCATTCCGCGCCGAAGAGATTTTTGACATGCTATATATAACCTGGGGAAATCGCATGAAATCGCAGTATTTTTGGAAATAGCGAACATGTTTGGAACCAAAAACCAGCGTGAAATGATGACAAATGCCCCAAAAACCGGCAACTGTTCGCTGGTGAGAATCCTCGCGCTCAACCCAACACCGGTTGGATCTTTCTGACGGCAATTTCAAGTTATCTGGAAGTTTTCGGGTCACAGAAAGCAAACAATAACATTGTATAATCACGTGTTGTCAATTAGGCCTGGCAACCTCAATGGCTGCAAGTACCTTAGAAAGCTGTAGTTGGTGATCCTGTAAATTTTAAACCCAGATAGAACTGGAGATTTGAACGAGGTAGTGTTCTATGCCCTTAAAATTGTGCATGTTCACTTCGATCGAAGTATGTATGTGTACATATATATATGTATATATATGTACATGTACATGTACATGTACATATACATACACATACACATACACATACACATACACATATACACATACATATACATATACCTATACATACACATATATATATATGTATATACATACATATACGTATATATACGTATATATAATGTATATATATATACTGGTATCAGTCCAAATTGGGTACCAAATAAAAGTGTAGTTTCCGAGTTGGTGTTGAACCCATCCCAACAAATGTCAGCTGAGACGGTCATGTTTCAAATCACTCAACCGGGATATGTTTTCTCATCTATCATCACTTTACCATCAACAATGCGCCCATCCATTGTTGTTGAATTCCCCTCCCTCGAACTTCGGTCACCCAGGTGCTTTCGGAGAAAATCGCAGGCCACACTCCACAACAACTTCGCCGGGTCTTCGCCTGGCCTCTTTCGGCCGGCCAAATCCACCTGACGGTCCGGCAGAAAAATGGGGGAGACTTACCAAAGGGGGGTTGAAGAAAATGAGTTGAAAGAAATGGTAAGAGATAAAATACATATATATATATAGTTATATATATATACACATCATATGCAAATGGATCCAAAAACTATTGTTGGATCAAATATATACATATACATATATATATATAGATATCTGGTCACATCAATATTAAGTCGATATCTATCTCTTGTCTGTCTGATCTATCTGATCTAATCAAATCTAGTCTACTCGAATCTACTCTACACTAACCAAATCTAGTCTAGACCGCTCTAATTCAACGCTAACCTGACGTAATTTAATCGAATCTAATCTAATGTGATCTAACAGGTTCTAATCTAACCTAACCTAATCCAATCTATATAATCGATCTATAGTATCAACTAACAAACTCTCAAACAATTGCAATGAGTTTCTTGGACAGTTTCGATCTGGGTTTTGGACCTCAACTGATAAATTTGAAATGCAAACCAAAACAGTGAGATAATTTCCATAGAGATCATCATGTCTGTGAAAGATTCATGTTTTGTGTCAAATTTTGGGATTGCGGAACCCCAAACAAATTGGCCTTCCAAGAAATCAACACCCCCTCAAAACATCCCTCTAACATGGTTATGTGCCATGCATTTTTTGTTGGTTTCTTTGCCAGGCGTATCTGTGATGACGGCTGGCATTTCGTTGATTTTCATGCCCGGGTGGGTTGTGATCATCCCCATCACAAACTTGCCATTTCCAATATTTCAAGGTATACTGCACTAGACTCAACCAAGAATGTAGGGGGATGGATAGTTATTTCCCAACCCATTCTTGTGACTCAGGGATGAAGGCACCAGCAATTGCATCATCTGTTCGTCGTCGATTTTCAATTTCTCAACCACATAGGTGGCTTCATTCCTCGGCGCTGCATCACCATTGGAGTTGCCAAATGCATGGCAAATATGGAACGGAAATGAGGCACACACATTTTCGCATCGTTTTGCAGATAGTTCAAGAAAATTTGGGAGGCAGCAAGAATTCGTATGTTCCGACAAATGCGGTTCGAAACAAACGGGCTGCAGGGAAAATATGTATGGGGATTGCCTGCGTGCAGGAATTGCAAATTGATTGAATCTTTGCTGCTGTTTAGCTGGGTTGCTGTTTGAAACGACATCTCTTCAGACAAGCCTTCCATGGAACCGCATTTCACGGCTATACATGTCCAACGTTTGGGTTACTATTTTAACTGTGGATGGGCTGGCGCGAAATCCTTTTTGCCACCAATTTGGGATGGTTGAAACCCAATGGGATGTTTAAAAAATCAACTGGTGATTTGGATAAATCGCATCCGTTCACTGAAAACTCCGAGGCTCTCCAAATCCGCGGCCACGAACTTGCTGAGTGGAATTGGGGCCTCGATCCGGTGGAACCTGGGGTTTTTTCATTGGATAAAATTTGGTCAAATGGCAATTGTTAATTACATTTAATTACCATGAAAATGGATGGCTTGTTAAAAGGGCCAATGGTTAAACAATTGAATGGTAATGTCCATTCAAACACCTGGTAAAATGGGTAAAATGGTAAAATGGCCGAAGGTGGAGAAATGGAGATCCGTGGGGCAATTTACCTGTCCCCTTACTTTAAGTGGAGCTTTTGGCAAATAAATTTACCGCACATACGGTGGAGAACGGTGATAAAGATGACTAGTTGTGGTTGTGCCATCCCACTGAAAAACAAATGTCTCATTTGGGATCATCATCCCAAATATGATGACGGTGGAAAGGATGAAAAAAATGAAACCACCAACTAGATGAGAGACATGAGTCACCAAAAGTCACCAAACAGTGCGTTTATAAATGGAGATAGGACATAATTCCAAAAAAATGCTGAGAAAATTCAGCAGACACAGAGAAGGATCTCGCCTGCAAAATACATGTGGACAACATAAACTAATGATTAACGAATGTCAACCCTGGATTTTGATTCACTCTTTTGGGGTGTGAAACCAGTGGGTATATCATTTTCCTACATCAAAATCAAGGAACATCCCCAATGAATCGACGTTTTTGAACCGACCAAACGTGGGTAATTTCAAGAAGCCTATGATTTGGGGATGAGATTTACCCAGTTATGGTCATCGGACTGGTTTGGGTGAATCCCACATGACCAAGATCTCCTGAAGACCTGGACGAAAATCCCATGGAGTTTCGCCAAAATGTCGCTGAAATGGAAAATCCCATGGAAAATCTCAGATTTCCAGGTGGACTTAGGGCTTTTCCATTGCCATATACTTTCCTATCCAAATTTCAGTCATTCCAATCATCTGGTGGCGTTTTGGAGACGCCCATAGCTGCACGCCGGGCCACTTCCATGGTTTTGAAGATCATCTGGGACCATTCGGACGGACCTTTTGTTCGCGAAAAGTGGCGAATTGCGCGGCCATGATCTATTTGGTCTTTGTTCTCTTGTGGCATGATGTTTTGCAAACGGGCGTCTACAGAAATAGAATAACGGTAAATCTACTATTTTGCTAAGTCCATGAATTCGAATTGTGGTAAACGAGTGTCTACACAAAACCTACGCGGCGCAAAAACACGCAGCATCGCAGCATGTTCGTCTGGTACCTGGTAGCCTGTTGATCTAGTTCCATCAGGCCACGCTGTTCCATTGGAGCTTTAGCAGCCAAGATTGAACATCATGACTTGACGACCGAAAAACTCGCCAACAGTGGTGACCTGAAATGATGCCATGTTGAAGTGCGTAAGGTGATTCGTCAAATTCGAGGTACCATTTTTTTTGGAGGAACGGATAAAGGTGTTGGGTTCAGAAAAAAAAACTATAAAAACTCATTGTTTCATCTCAGCCCTTGTTTCAGCTGAACTTCATCGTGGCTGATGGTTCCCCGATTTTTTGGGCCACAAGATTCAAAGACTCTACCAGCTGTGACTTGTCTCATCCTACCCTCTGGTAATTTAACATAGCTATGGAAAATCACCATTTTTAATGGGAAAATCCACTATAAATGGCCATTTTCAATAGCTATGTTAGTTTACCAGAGGGTATACCAAGGGGGCTCCTTCGTCATGGGGGACTCAACAGCTGAGGGATGTCCGGGGGGACTCAACAGCTGAAAAACATCGAGGCCGATGGAAGCGTTTTTTCCGCTCATGTGGATATTGGGACGTGACCTGTTCCATCTCCAAAAAAAGGTCCGGCTGTTGACCAATGGAGGGTTGCCATCCATCGCTTTGGGACATCCATCGCCATATTCTGAAATTCAAACATCCATCGGCATATTTCTTCCCAGTTTTGGAGATGACTGATGCTTCTGCCAATTCTTCATGATCTATGGCAATGCTGCTAGTAACCTCAACCCTCATGGCCAGGCTGCTATGGGCTGGAAATTGAACTTGGAAGGCTTTCTCCAAAGCAAAGGACGAGTCAGGCGACCACCAATACCTGACGGTCAGGAAGGTGAAGTGGTTCGAAACGCAAAAAATAAACAGTGAAGACTTTGGAATCTAC